GACTTAATCTAACAGTAAATGAAATATATATGAAGCTTTTACCATGATAACTTAAGAACAGAAATATAGTGTTCATCAGATTTTTCAAAACTTCAAAATTACTTTCTCAAAACATAGACTTCCAATTACAAATCCGATCGGTCAAAGTGTAATAATATATCTTAAGAATCATATATGCAATTTTCAGGTTGATCTAACGGTCAAATAGGTCAGAATCTATATTTTACCGAGGGGACTCAGTAACCAAATTATAGGGATGATTAATTTACTCAAACATGCAGGATTTATTTCTCCAAGTAGAGACTTCTAATTGATGATCCGAACAGTCAAAGTGAAGAAATAGGTCTTAGGATTCATATATTAAATTTTTAGCTAAATCCAAAGATAAAAACAATTAAAAAGAAGGTTTTACCACAGTATTTCGAAAATAAGAAAATTATAATAATGAAAACTAAATTTATACAAGTGAATAGATAACTACCATTACCCAAAATTATAACATGTTCATAACTCATACTCATGATCATAACATGTATAAAAATCATATATAAGAAGGATTAGCTCCCCTACCTCTATTCCAGACTTCTCTTGATCTGAATTCATTTTCCTCAAAAATCCTCGAGAGCCTCTACTCTTCTTGCAACTAAAAATTTCTTCCTAACTCTTTCTTCTCTATTTCTCAAGGTTTCTCACCTGATTCTTACTCTTTTTGTGCAAAATATCATCCTCTCGTGGCTATTTATAGTCCAAATTTTTTTATTATTCATCATTTTTTTAATATCATTTATTATTTTAATTTCACCACTTAAATAATGGATTCCTTAATAACGACTTCAAATATGAATGCTTTCTCCATTAAATTTTATTTTACCTTTTTTTTACAAAGAGGTAGAAAAGAGTTTGAATCCATCACCAAAATTTTTTACCAATTAAGTTACCAAAATTTTTTATTTAACTTTACATATTTTATATTATAAACTTATTATATTTTCCATTCACAAAAAAATTTATTATTACTAGTAATAAAATTGTTACTATTAAGGTAAATATTTTTCATAGATCTTATAATAATAATAAATAAATAATTATTATAAAGAAAATAAAAATATATCAACCCGTAATCCTATGACCATCTAGATTATTCGGCATTGACCTGTAACAGGTTTTATGTTTATGGCGAAACAACGATGCAAAAACCTCAAACCACAAACAAGACTCGTGTACGGCTCTCAAAGTATGGGACCATCTTCAATAAAACAACCACAATAACCATAAGAGAAAAAAACAAGCTTTTTTATTTGGCTGACAAGTATCATCTATCTTAATCTGCATTAGTTGAGTGCAGTTCTTTTGTCTCAATGCTTCCTTTCCAAATGAGCTTTTGACCCTTTTGCTCAGCCCATTCTGTCTAACAACACAGCAAGAGAAAAATCAATTTTTTACCCTCTCACTGTTCTATCTAAGGTCCTATCCCAGGAATTGACCAGATGGAGAATGAGGCACATAGCATGTCATCTGATATAGGAATAGGTGTGAATGAGAAGATGGTTGAGGCACTTGAGTCAAGTGACAACATCCCATTGTTGCTCACCAACTCTAGCTCTCTCAAAAGGACAGGTTTGTGTTGTTTTGTGTTGTGGGTCATCCTAAATGTTAAGTGCAAAAGTGAATAGTCATCTATCTATTTCATCCTGCTATTGTTACTAACATGTGCCTATTTTTTGTGAATGTGATGAACTGGAATGGATTGAATTTGACTTTGTGAACAAAAGGGACGGTGTGGACAGCAGTGGCACATATAGTGACTGGGGTGATAGGATCGGGAGTGCTGTCTCTGCCATGGAGCACTGCACAGCTTGGTTGGTTTGCAGGACCACTCTCAATCATTCTCATAGCTTCCATCACTCTGTTCTCTTCTTTTCTTCTATGCAATACTTATCGCCATCCCCATCCTGAACATGGTCCGAATAGGAGTGCCTCCTACCTCGATGTTGTCCATCTGCATTTAGGTAACAATTCCTTTTCTACTTTCTTGAATAGTTGGTACCACCAAGTGTCTGATCTGAGTGATGATGAGATTGGTTCATTAAGTATGTGATCAGGGGTTTGAATCCTGACTCGTTTATGGAAAAAATCTAGTTGGCTGAGGACAACTTAGTTTTGAGTGTTTTCAGATCTACCAAAAAAATTAATGACCAAGGATATTCCTTATAATCATGCATTACCTTTGTGTTTGAAAAAAAAATCTGGTTGAGGGACAGAAACTTATCTTTGAACGGTGATGAGCTTGAATTTTTTGTCTTCTTTACATGAACTACGTGTTGTATAGATTTGATTAGAGATAAATTCAATGTGAATTTCACAATGATGAGATTATAGGGATTTAGGCACGGAAGGAGGAAAAGAGTATAGAAACTAAATATTCTGAAATTGATATTGATTTGATGTGATATGGGTTTATTTACCATTTAGTGGTGATGAGCTCGGTTCATCTAAGCATGTGGTTAGGAGTTTGAATCCTTACTCTTGTGTGTGGAAAAATCTAATTGAGAACTCACTTTTGAGTGTTTCCAAATCTCCCAAAAGAACTTAGCCTCGATGAACAACCAAGGATATTCCTTACAATAATGCATTACAACAAAAAAATTGCATCTTGTTACCACATTGTTATTGGAAAGAATGCTATTTATATGACAAAATCGTCTTTGAACGTTTGCAGGAATAAGTAATGGGCGGCTCAGTGGCCTTCTTGTGAATATAAGTTTGTATGGTTTTGCAATTGCCTTCGTCATTACAACAGCTATCAGCTTAAGGTGTGTTGATGACTTATCATACTGATTTCTCTCTTGTCATGAAATTTTCTTTTCTTTGCTATTCTTTCCCTCTGTTTATCTATGGATGCTACCTGTTCCGAAACAAGATTTTCTCAATGGTAATCCACTAAGGAAACATGTATCTGCCCTAAGAAGAACACTATATGATTGGCTCTGTTAATTTGGACTGCTGTTTGTGTTTGTGGCTGCAGAACAATCCAACATTCATTTTGTTACCACAACAAAGGGAGTGAAGCATCATGTGAATTTGCAGATGCATATTACATGCTGCTTTTTGGCGTTATCCAAATTATTCTCTCACAGATACCCAACTTCCATAACATCGAATGGTTGTCGGTTGTTGCTGCAATTATGTCCTTTACTTATTCTTTCATAGGAATGGGGCTTTCCATTGCACAAATCATAGGTATGATGGGAGCCTTAGCTTAGGCCCACCATAAGTATTAGTTTTGATCAGATAAATGTGTATAATTTTCTGACAAAACTTTGCTCAGAGAAAGGACATACTGAAGGTAGCATTGGAGGAATCAGTACCTCCAGTGGAACTGAAAAGTTATGGCTGGTTTCTCAAGCACTTGGTGACATATCATTCTCATTTCCGTTCTCAACAATTATTATGGAAATACAGGTACATAACTTACAAACTCACACACGAGACTCTAACTTTTCCTGTAAAGGCTGATATAATTTGCTGTAATTATTGAAGGATACTTTGAAATCACCTCCACCTGAAAACCAAACCATGAAGAAGGCCTCAGTAATTGCGGTCACTGTCACAACATTTATGTACCTCAGTTGTGGAGGTGCTGGATATGCTGCCTTTGGTGATAATACACCAGGAAACCTTTTAACAGGGTTTGAATCCTCTTACTGGCTTGTGAGCTTTGCTAACGTCTGTATAGTGGTTCACCTAGTTGGTTCATATCAGGTACATTGATTATAGAGATACCCTGTCAATTTTTTTGGGTGCTCCTTTTTAATATTTCTTCAATTCCTGTATTATGCATAACCTGTCTTGGGGTAGCTTGTTATAAAATCATCATATAGTGTAAACATTTTGCCAGTTATGATATTTGTAGCATGTTTGCTGTCACTGATCTTCTATGATAGAATGCATGTTCATCTTCTACTTTCTTTTGCTGCAGGTGTATTGCCAGCCACTTTTTGCCACTGTTGAGAGTTGGTTCCGTTTTAATTTCCCGGATAGTGAATTTATGAATCACACATATATCTTGAAACTCCCGTTGCTACCAGCCTTTGAACTTAATTTTCTCAGCCTGTCTTTCAGAACTGCTTATGTTGCATCAACAGTTGTGATTGCAATGGTCTTTCCCTACTTCAACCAGATTTTGGGGGTTCTGGGTAGCATGATTTTTTGGCCATTGACCATATATTTTCCTGTGGAAATCTATTTGAATCAATCCTCTACTGTACCATGGACGACTAAGTGGGTCCTGCTTCGGACTTTCAGTATTTTTGGCTTTGTTTTTGGATTGTTCACTCTCACTGGATGTATTAAAGGAATAGTAGCTCAAAAAATTGGCTGAGAAGCTGAGACCTCTTCAGGTACTGGGGCTAAAGAAAGTAGTTTCTTTTGTACTTTGAAGGCCCCAAAATGATTCATTCACACAGTTAGTGTCTTGGAACCATGACATGAAGATTTGACAACTTGTACTTTTTTTTTTCTCTCGGTAAATTAGACTTGAAACATGAATTTGAGATCTGAACTGTCCTGCCTTTATTCATCAACAATGCATTGACTGTAAAATGCAAAGAATAGAGAAGACTGCACTGAATCTGGTTGACATGCAGATTCTCTGATATTTTCAGTGGGATCAGTGGTTCTGTAATTGGTCACCTTTTGATATAAAATAATAATAATAATAATGCTAGGAACGTTGATGAATGAAAACGTTGCAGTTCAGGAATCCCAACATTGTACATAGCTTTATGGTGTGATTTTGTTGCCAAAGCTTAATGTCATATGAAAAGTGCCAAACATTCAAGGCAAAATGAACTTGGACGATTTCATGATGCATTCGCTTTTTATGACCCAATAGCCATTACAAGTTTTGTTGACGAGGTAAGTTTTTAACTTTTTAGTTGATCACACAAAAAAACGATGAAATGACAAAATGCTACTCTTATAAGAATACAACTGTGCACTTAAACTAATATGATGTCTCAAACTCAACATTAACAACCAAGCGGAGATAACATGAAATAAAGCCGCCAGAAAGTGAATCCGAAGAAACAGTTTGTTCCTTAAAGTCTTCTAATCCGTTGGCTTGACTTTCCTAACTGCTTAACATTGTACAAAATAGAAAACAAAATAGAGAATATAACGAAGGATTGGTTGAGTTCAACAAGACAAACATCATGGTCCAATCAATCATTCTTCTCCCCATATGATGACCAGCATAAACACAGCCAAGAATGATTTGCCGCTCGGCATGCAAATTGCCAATGTTTATGGTATTCGACTCAAACAACTACTTCCCTCAATTATACACCAACCTCACCATCAACCGACGCAGTGATTTACTGAATAGCAAGACGCCTCTGTGAGCTTTGCTCAGAGGAGATGCTTCCTCGTTGTTGACCTGAACAGTCTCCCTCCTCTACTCTCTCACCGGAGTGCAAACAGAACGCAGATGATGACTGCAAAACATTTGCGTAATTGTGTTTTTCAAATCTCTCATGCACTTCAGAGGGTACTGGTCCCAACCCAGATGAACTAACTGACTGTGGCAATGAAACTGGAACTGCTGCACCCGTATCCTTTTCCTTGTTCGTGTGTTTTGAAACTTCGACATCAGTTTTCTTTGCAAAACGCCCTCCGTTACCTCTTGCTCTTCTCATAGCATGCTGATGACGAGATTCATGAAGATATGGCTGCGAAGAAACTCTGGTTAGCATA